ACAGGATATTCTGCACATTAAATTGAAAGACCGAGTTGAGCGCTCCGCTCAATTAATTTTAATATAAAAGTTAATTTCAATAAATAAAAAGAAATATTTTAGGCATATTGAAATTGTTTTGGATATGCTGGTGATATTATATTAATTTTATGCCACGATTTTTGCCTAAAGAAAATTACTTTTATTTATTATTATTACTATTTTTATTTTTATTAAATTACTGACACTTTATTCTAACATTTTTAATATGAAATTAAATTGTTTAAATTTAATTTTTTTTTCATTTTTCATTTTCTTTTTTTTTTTTTTTTTTTTAGTTTCTATTCCAAATGCTTTTCATGCTTTTAATAAACTGCTAGTTTTCCTCTATTTTGTATTGACTTATTTTATGGTTTTTCAATAAATAAACAATAAATATAATATTATACACATATTATATTTATTGTTACCTTCGAAAATTTTCTTGGTATGTAAATTCGGTTTCAGTTTCAAAGCGAGAGAGTATTCCCGTCTCTCTTTCTGCTATATCTTTCGCTACATTATTCTCAACCCGTTCTTGATTTTCAATTTACAGTTTTCCATGTTTCATCCACTCCCCTTTTTTTTTGCTGCGATCCCCGCCATGAGCCATGTTCCTCTTCCTGGCGCTAACTTCTGAGTTGCAACTTTTGGCTTATGTCAGCTTCACATATACATTTATATACAAATGCGAATGGATATATGTTTGTATGTATTGGCTATATATAGCACGCTTCACACACACACACAGAGGCGCACACACTTGAGTTTTGATGGGCAGACAATGTACAGATTAAAGCTGGAAATCCGTTAAGCCCGTCAATGCGATGCGCCCTTAATGCGCCGAATGCGACCCTCGTATTGCCCACGGGATAACAGGAATCTGACAGAGTATCGCCTCGAGTAGAAACCAGTTCGAGAGCGAAACGGAGACGGAGATGGAGGCGGAGAGACCAAAAACTAAATATCAAATTTCATATAATTGTCGGCCATTTTGATCGGTGGCGCACATCCGTGGACAGATGCCGCACATGCCTGCCTCTTGGCAGTGTAGCGTGTGTAGAGCGCGCCTGGAATTGGGTGGCAATTGAGTGGGTGTTGCTGCCTCCCCCCCCAACACGGATTTCTCCTCAATTTTTGCACAATTTTTTCGCCCCCTATTTTTGTTGCATTTTTCTGCCAGCTTTTCCCCAGTTTGCTGCCCAAACCAAACAGTGGCTCTGTGAGAGGGCGCTGACTCCTGATCAGCACCCGCTGGGACGCCTCTGTTTGTGGGGGGGGAGCATTTCCATGACAACTCTTTTCTTTTGCTTTCTTTTTTGTTGTTGTTAACAAATTTCACTCTCTTTCTCTGTCAGCCTGTTTGCCTCCTACTGTCTCTTTCTGGCTGGAAAAACTGAGAGCGGCCACCGGCCGCCGCGTCTTCGAAAAGTGCTCTGGGTTTTGTGGGCTGCTTGTTTCATGTTTTTGCTTTTGCTTGGCTTTTTTTTCCACCCCAAAAAAGCTAGACGCTCAGAGGCAACAGGGGGTGGAGTGGGGGGCATTGAAGAGGGCTCGTTGAGGGCTGCGGCAGCTGCGGCCACAAAACTAGTTTGGCTTTGGCTTTGCCAGAACGAGACAGAGCTTTGCCCACAGAGTTCTGTGAGTGGTGTGGAAGGGTAGGCGCTGAGAATGTTGTGTCGATGGGGTGGAGGGGGTGGTGGGGAGGGGAGGGAGGGGAGGGTAAAACCATATTTTCCACCCACTTTTCTGGTTATTTCTCTGGTTATTTCGGTCGGGGCCCCGTCTTAAGGGTTGCAAATCAAAACGCGGTTTGTTGGTTTGTATTTCTGGCCAAAGTCGTCTCGTAACTTTTTCAAGCACGGAGCATTCTTAGAAAGAGACAGCCACACACAGAAAGGGGTTGGGAGTGAGCGACAGAGAGCGAGCGAGCGGAGAGAGAGAGAGAGAGCTACAGTCAAAGGGTGAGTGAGAGAAAGGGGCGGTGGTACACATGCACAGAGCTAAAGAGTGGAGGGGGGTAAAGGAAAAAGAAAAGCCGCGTCAAAAGGGAACTCGACATTAAAGAGTTTTCAGCGCCATTATTGACACTTGGGTTAACTCCGTGGCACCCCCCCTGGATACATATATGCCCCACTGTATTGTGGAGTCCTCCCCCCCCTCTCTTTCATTGTGTACTCTCTCTCTCTCTCGCTCGCTCTGTTTCTCTCTCTGGAAGTTGTCAACTTGTTTGCATAATTGCCTTGCATTTTTATGTGGAACTTTGCGCAGTTTTTTATGCCTGCCTCTCTCTCTCTCTCTCTCTGTCACACTCTCACTCTCTCTCGCTTTCTCTCTCTCTTGCTGACTGCCCCACTCTTGGGGGCGTTTGGGGGGGGCGCTTAAACCATTTGTTTGTCGTTGTTTCTGTGTTTGTGTGCAATTTTAGTTTGGGATTTTCGTGGCATTTTTGTGGCCTTTTGTCTGGTTAACCGTGGTTGGTTATTGGTCAACACACACACACACACACACACAGCCACAGCCACACTGGCTGTGAGAGAGAGAGAGCATGGAGTGGGTGAATGTGTGCAACCGCTAAAAAAATATTGACTTGAACCGAAATGCTTGATTAACTCGTTCGAAATTTTAATGCCAGACCATTTAATTAGAGCAAAAAAAATTATTAAATATATGTAGAGCAGATAAATTAAACTAAGAAAAATATATGGAATACCCTTGCTGATCTGAAGGTTATTTTGCACATAATTATAATCGAAAAAAACTACTCACCAGAAATGGTTCCCATTCTCTTCACCAGAGACCGCAGCAGCCTCCTCATAAACGACAAACATTGCACTACTTTTTTACACCTTAACCGCAAACCAAAAAAAAAAAAGCAACAAAAAAAAAAGAACAGCCGTAAAAACAGAGCAATCCTGGACAAAGGATCAGCTCGAATATGATGCAACAACCGCGGCTAAAAAGTCAAGGCGCGGGCACAAAGGCCCACAGGGCCCGAGCCGGTCCATAAAACATTTGCTCCAGTTTTTTGACCAATTTTTAGTGCAGTTTTTTGTGAGCCCATCGTTTTTTCTTTGGGCCCAACAAAGGACATCTATTTCGGGGAAACTGTGACCCGAACTCGAGGATCCGCTGCGACAATTACAGCGAAATGCAGAGCAAAAATCTCAACTTTGTTACAGTTCTTTTTTGTTGTTTGTTTGTTGATTGTTTGTTGTTTGCTGCTTGTGTTTATTGTATCGTGTTGGCAGTGTCCGTTCCGTGGCTGTCTTTTGTAGGCCGGAATCCGCAGTGTTTTATGAGCGGCTTGTTAAAAAAAATCATAAAAATTATTTAGATCTAGATCAGGTCCCATGGCCCATCATGACCCATGCCATCGCCTCATTTGAGCCTCATAAATCTCATCTCACGGAAAACTGACCTACAAATTGCACCAAAAAACATAAAGAAAACAATAAAAAAAAAAAAAAACCGAGAAGGGACACGAAAAAACAAAAACGCAAATTGAAAATTCTGAGAACAAAGTGTCCAGCAAGGACTTGCGTAATAATTTGCATGTTTTTTTTTTTTTGGTTCATTTCCAACGACTTGAATTTTTTTGTGTCTCTCTCTCGTGTTGCGTTTCGTTTCGTTTCGTTTCTGTCTGCTGCTCGGCTTCATTCATGGCAGAGCAGCAAGGAGCGATATCAGGACGAATATTGCCCTACAAAAATTACCTAAGAAGTGTAAAACGAGAGCATCATAAAATGCAACAAACAAGCCGGACAGCACAGCGTAAGGACTTACGTAAGAGTCGGGAGTCGGAGCCCGGGAGTCGAAGTCGGAGGCAGAGAGGAGCGGAGCGGATGCCATGCTGTGATTGTGTTCTACTTTTTTGCATGTTTTGCTTGTCCCATAATAAACCCGCCATAGAGCATGGAAATGGTATTTTTTTTCTGTCTAAAAAGTTCGACAGGAAGACGCACAGGGAGCTGAACTGAGCGAGATTCGAACTAATTGAGGCGGGTGGTGTTTTTGCGGATCTTTATGATGGATTGATCCCTAAACGACTGCACGAAGTCAGTTCAGTTGCTTCTGCTGACCTCATAAAAATTTCCCAAAAAAAAAAAAAACAGCCAGCACCAAGAACTGGAACTGGAAGTAGGAAAAAATAGACTGAATATGCACTAAAAATTGGTCAGGAAACTGGAGCACAGGCACCTCAGAGGACTCAAGCCATAGACAGTACAACAACAACAAAAAACACAGAGCGTGGCTGAGGGAGTGTGGGTGGGTGGGTTGGTTTGGTTGGGTTGTGTTGTCTTTGTTCTTTGTGCAATTCATTTGCAAAAATGCCAGCGCCACCTGCTGTTTATTGCCAACATGTCGCGATTTTTTGTCCGTTCGTCGTTCCCCGCCCCCGTTTTTACACATGTTCCGAGGGGCGAGTGTTGGGTTCATTCTAACCCCCAGAAAACACGAGCGGCTCGTTAAAGCCAGCAATGCGAAAATACAAAATAAAAACAAATGAAGGAAGGGCACCAAAAGCATAGGTAAATGTCGCTATAAGAGTGGCAGTGAGAACCAACGACAAATTTGTCTGTTGTGTTAATAATTTGACATTTTATTTGTCAACAAAAGGGCCAACATTGGGCCATAAAAAGAGCAAATGCCATGGGGCATTTTCTTCTTTGGCAAATAAAAATAAAAGGAAAATGAATTTTTAACAGAGTTTAACATCAACTGGCAAAAAATTAGCCGCTCGGTATAGTTTAGCTTATAATTAGCACAGAATAAAATGGCTTAGACTTAATCATAATTTAAAAAGAAAACCTCTGAGGCTATTGGCAGTAGCAGAAGTAGAAGAAAAAACAAACAAAATGGTGCGATAGCTGGTTGGCGATTAATCTCACGAATTAATCGACCAAATAAATATATTATTCCAAAGCCTAGTTGATCGAAATTTTCTTATGTTCTTATTTTATATATTTTATATTTTTCAGTAGGCTGTGAGATCGATCTTTCAATGCTCGTCGTTGCCTGTAGGCAAATCCCATAAATAAATTCAGTTCTTTATTGGCGTTTGAGTGTGAATATTTGAGAATTGAAAAAAAAAAAGTAAAATAAAAATTGTTTGAACTTTTTGAGCCTTTTGAATTTTTACCGTTTCTTGAATCATGGGCAACGAAGCCAGCACTGGGTGCAGGGATAAGGAGAGTATGTCAACCAGCACTAAATTTTGCTGTGCATTTTTAATAAGTTTTCCCCTTTAACTCTAGCTCAAACCGAGTCGAAGTATCTGATGCTAACCGAGCCCGTGCCCAAGAAAAGATTCGATAAGCAGAGTAAGTGACGCGCATAGAATTTTGCTGTGAGTATGCAACATTTATTGTGTGTGTGTGTGTGTGTGTGTTTGATTGCAGCCCAAACCGACTTGGCCGATGACGATGTCGCTGGGCCATCACGCGCCAAGCGTCCAAGACTCATGGAGCGCGACATTCCCCATTGCCCCGTCTGTCTTGAGGCCATAAACAATCGCTGCCCGATGGCCCCACCCTGTGGGCACATCATGTGCAAGGCTTGCCTCACGCGCATCAATACCGTTTATGCGGCGGCCGACTGTCCCATTTGCAAGCAACCCATGGGCAAAGCCTTTCTGCGCATCCATTTAAACTAAATGTTTGACAGCTGAAGCAAAGCTACAAAAAAAAAAAAAAAAAAAAAAAAAAGGGGGAAAAAAAACAAAACAAAAACAAACAAATGACAAATGAAGACAGAACAATTTGATGCTTAGTGATATTAAAATTAATATTTTACGTTTATATAAATGTAGCCGTTGAGAGAAATTAAATTAAACCAAAATAAAACTGCACAATGTAACACAACAAATCAAAGCGTGTCTTTTATGGATTGAATGGGGAATCGATGTGGCTCCCCCTTGCTCTTGTATCACATGTGTAAGTATACCCCACACCACACCAACCACATGGAAGTACTCCCCCGCGAGTCGTGCTTAAAACTCCACGCCCCCCGCCGGCCAAAGAAAGGAAAAAGAATGTAGCGCATAATCGCGAGAAATGTTCATGTTGCTGTAATTTGTTTGGCATTTGTTTTGGGTGCGGGGCGCGCGCCGCTGGGGGAAGCTCATTTGTTGGGGCGTCATAATATATGGTATCCGATTGCATAAGGATCTTCAGCCATTGGCCCCCAGCCACCCACTTGCCGCTACGTATAGCTGTATTACCTCTTCGCTTGGTTTGTTTGTATGCTTAGCATGATTGCATGGGCGGGAGTGGGGTGGTGCAGAGCAGAGCAGAGCTCTAAGTTGGATGGAATGGTTTTTTGTATGCAAAACGTTTCGTGTTCAGTTTCGGTTGTTGTTGTTGTTGTTGTTTATTTGAACACCCTTGTGTAATCCTTTTGGCCCGTAATGGGAACGGGAAACGGGGAACGCGGCTGCAAATGCTCAACAAACAGAACACACACACACACACACACACACACACACACACACAATCCTTTTTCTTGGCCATGCTCGCTGACATTTTCGCGTTTGGGCTTTGTCAGCAACGTCCTTGCCGGCTGTCATTCCATTTTGCATTCACAAGGAGCCCCACAAGAGGGCTGGTAGAGGGCCTGGGCAGGGCAGGGCAGGGCAGGGCAGGCGAGGCTAGGCCAGGGAGCTAAGGCAACAACACTCAAACGGCACAAAAGGTGATTGCGATTGCGAATTCCGTTGACGTTTTTATGGCGCATTCAGTAAACCAAACAATTGGCAAGCGCGGCGAACGGCAACTCCTTCGCCTCGTCGAATGCAAACACACAGACAGACAGACATACGGACAGACAGACAGACAGACGGACGGACAAACCCAACACAGACACTTACCTTCCATTGTTGAACTCCACACGGTGGGTGACGGGAACGGCACGAAACGGAACGGGCTAAGGAGAAAACTCCGCGACAGTCGAGCATTTTTCCGCCCAAAAGGAACAACAATGGCAAAAGGATTTGCTCAAGCATGAAGCGGGCCACACAACCCACACCCGCACCCGCACACCCTTCCTACCATACGTTCGTTTTTTTTTTTATCCACTTTTCTGTGCTGTCTTTTCTGCTGTCTTGTTTTTGTTTTGTGTGCAAATTTTTATGGTTTGTTTAACAAAACGCAACGTTATATAAGCCCAGGAAGGAGCTGAGCTGAGCCTCAGCCTGAGCATGAACTGACTTAGCCAGAAACAGGAAAAGGGCAAATATCAACAGAAACCTCTGAAGATATAGACACAAGGATGAAGGGAAAGGGCTGCGCTGCGCTGGGCTATCGGAAGGAAGAGGTAAAATGTGCGGGTTAAGTGTTAGCGGGAAAGTGTCCTTGACTTCTCGCCAGCGGCACAAAAAATATATTCAGCGAAAGTTGCAAAAAATTAACGCTAATGGAACTGACTTTCATGCGAAATCCATTATACAGCCAATGGATCATGTAATGTTGGCTCAAAAAACGAAGAACGTAAAATTCATAGAACTTCCCCTTGTGGCATTTTCCTTTTGACATTTCCAGTGACAGGGTTGACAAGCTACGCGCGGGAAATGCGTAATAAAATAAAACCAAACAAACTTATTAATTAACCTTAGTTTGGCTTATTTTAAATGAATTAAATAATAACATTTAAAGCGATAAATAGTTACAGAAAATTGTCATTGAAGTTTACTAAATAAATAAACGTTGAGCGGCAACCCTGTCTGCTGTTTACGGAAAATGCACACAATAAGCAAATTGATTTGCATTTATTTGATATGGTTTTATTGGTGGCATAAAACTATTTCTGCAAGCTACAAAAATTGCTAAAAATCGTTGAATAAAAAAAGCGCGTGTTAGGGCTGCAAACACTGCAGCGCTTTACAGCACTGTAATTTGCCATAGATATGGCTTTGACATTTACTTGCTCAAATTGCTCAACTAAAATATTTTCTGCCAGCTTTCAAAGACGATATAACTGTGCAAAAGTGTAAGAAACTGTGCCTGAAATTAGCAAGTGCATTAATGATTCCAGTTTCAGGCTCTGCCAGCATAAACAAGCCGCTAGTTAATGTGCATGCCCCAATGGTTAAATATAATAATAATCCACTTGCCAACGACGACGACGAAGCTCCACGGGTGCGTCGACCACGGTTCCTACGTACAGGTGTAAACAAATTTGTTACTTTTTAGGAACCGCTGCACGATTGCGATGATGATGGCTATGAGGCAGACGATAGTGACACGGATGGAGGCAAAGGCAACCCGGGCCAAAAGCCAACCGCCAGCTGAAGGACTAAAAGGGAGTTGAATATAACTTGCAGAACGCTTTAAAAATAAATATGCCAGCTGTGAAAATTAAGGAGAATATAATGAGAGTCTGTTGTGCAAGTTGGCAACAGAAAACATTGCAAATCATAAATAATAATAACTCCCAAAAGAAAAAATAATCGAGCATCGGAATTAACTTATTCTTCTCGCAGAAGATTTTCTTAGTCTTTGTCAAATGATTAGCCAGATATGCCAACTGTCTGTCTGCCTGTCTGTCAGCGTCGTGGCTCTGGGCCCTGGGCCCTCCTCAGCATGAGCATCATTAACATAGCACCCCCCATACGGTGTGTGTCCTTCATTCAAGTGGCCACTTGGCTTTGGCACTCGTGTAAATCTACACAAATCGCTCGACAAATTTGCCATAAATCCAAATCATTTGCCCAGATTTCCCATTTCGCAAAAATGTCAAATGCACATTAACCTACACAAACAACAAAAGCGAGCGACTTTCAATGGGATAGGCTAGAGGATAGGATGTCGATATGGCTGTGAATGTGAATGTGAATGAGGATGAGGATGATGAGGAACCCGTCGTCGGACATAACTATTTGACGGGGGATGAGAATCAGAATGAGATTGCCAAACACCAGCAGAAACAGACACACACACACACACACACACAAACAAAGAGGGGAAATGGTCAGAAATGGGAAAAGCCGTGCGAATTACAAAATTGAAAATATGACAACACACAACGGAGGGTCCTCAATGGATTGGGCTGCCGGACAGGGGACCAGGCACCAGGCACCAAGGACATGGGTCCTCATCGGTCGGTACGCTACTGTACGGCTGCTGCTCCTGCTGCTGCTGTTGCTTAGGGCGCTCTTCCTGTGATCCTCTGCTCTGCTGTGCTGTGCTGTGCTGTCCTGTCCCATTCCATCCTTCCGGCCTGCCAATATTGTCAATGCAGTTTGACAGGCAGCAGCCGAGGCTGATGCCGAAACAAAATCCGATTCCGATTCCGATTCCTATTCCTAGCTGGAGAGGCGAGCTGTCAGCCCATCTATCCTGGCCATCCATCCATCTCCATGGCCCAGGCAGCAGGCCAACAATTGAACATATTTCGCTGACATTTTAATTAATTTGACACTCGTCCGCACGTTTTGGTCTGGCTGGCCATTGCCATTGCCATGACCATATGGATATGGGTGTGGATGTGGCCAAGGATGAGGGTATTACGCGGCTTTTGCCCGCCTTTTCCCGCTTGCAACATTTAATAAAACTTAATCACAAAAATAAATGACAACAGCGTCAAATGGCCTGGGGAGGAGTGTGAAATATCAAGGAAAAGCGTAGTAGATAGCGGGGGAAATACTTTCACGTGGGAGTATTCTGCTCTGTGGGGTGTCTAGGCTAAAGAAAAGTCATTCAGGAAGTGATTCAATCGATGTTCTGATGGAATTAGCTTATTTACTTAATAACATATTTAATGGCCGATCAGCTGCATATAGCGGAGTGTAACCAAAGGTATGACCAAGCAATGCAATTAAATAATTGAATGGGCACTCTTGCTGGAAAATTGTCATTCTTTCGGCACAAATTTGTGGTTTTTATTGTCTATTATAAATGTTAAAAAATCATGAAGGCAAAGCAATTTATTACGAATAGAGTACCATTTTACTGTCATGGAAAACTTGGCTGTGGAATGGATACGAATATTTAATAATAAAAGAATTGAAAATATAAGAATATTAATTTTAATAATAATAAGATTATTTCAAATATAACTAGAAATATTAATTTATATATTAATTTAATTATTAAATTAAATATTAATTTATATATTAAATAAAACATTAATTTTAATATGAATTTAAATATTAATTTATATATTAATTTAAATAGCTACCAAAAACCCTTGTATTAGTACGGAAAGAAGAATGTTTTATAATTATGTTAATGGTTCATTTTAGAAGCAGATTTTCTGCAGATATAGAAACCCATAAGATAACCCCGAGATTGCTGCTCTGAGCATATTTATTTTGACGGATTACAGCATTTGTTTTTGTTACATTTCCATTTGAATGTTTTCAAAACTTCTCTAAACGCTCCTCCCCCCGCACACAGACACACACACACACATACAGCACCCTTTTTCAGGATGTGTTTCGAGTATTTTGTGATCACTTTCGGCCGTGATCTGTGAAATTTCGGTCACGGGCGCGTCCAAAGTCAGATAATTAAAACTTAAACCCTTTGGCATGGCCGCCGCCTCCCGCAACAAACTGCCCAGAGGTGTGCGGGTGTGGGTGTGGGTGCGGAAGATCCTCTCTCTTCTCTCGGTGCATTTGAATTTTATTTTTAATTTCGCTTTTGGGTTCGAGCGAAGGACAGGCAGGCAGGCACACACACGCCCACGCCCACATCAGCCAAAAACGCACTAAGTCGGGGCCGGGGCGCAAATGTTAATTACCAACTTTGGATAGCGGAACCAAAGTAAGCCACACTTTCCGGAATGCCGTGGCTTAGTCCGGCACGGAGAGAGTCAAAGGATTAGAGCCTGGATCAGGGCCGTAAAGTCACAGATCAACAGAGCGCGATCTGTCGCTCGCAGCAGTCACAGCAGATCTGCGTCGAGGCGAAAGGGGTGCGGCTTTGTTTTCAAAATAAACAAATTGCAAATGCACACGAGATTCGATCCCAGCCGAAGAGGCAGAGCAGAGCAGAGCGCAACTGCAGGACAACGGTGGCAACGCCCCCGGGGCTCATGTGTGTGCGTGTGTGTGTGTGTGGTGTGTCCTTGCCGGCAACCGCGGGGGCTGCCTTAATTGCCTGCAACTAATTATGAATAGGAGGCGGCATCAGGAGCAGTGCCTCAGTTTCGGAAAGGAGTGAGAGGGAAGGGAAGGGAAGGGAAGGGAAGGGAAGGGAAGGGAAAGGAGTAAGCTGTGTCCAGTACCCGAAGCCTGGGTTCGCGTTCACTACTGTTTGTCCTTGCCGCGATTGTCGTCATTGTTGTTTGCAATTGTCATCTTTATAGATGATGCCATTGTCCGCTCAGCCGCCGCACCCGTTAAACTCGGCCGGATTAGTGGCAGAGCGCGAGAAAGGATTAAAACGAAATTAGAAAAAGGATGCGCGGCAGGTAAACCAGAGAGCGAAAGTAGCTGCCACATGGAGAGAGAGTGAGAGAGAGAGAGAGAGAGGCTTGAAAGTAGGAAATTTCTGTGTTCGAATTCAACGAAATTTTAGTTTGTTTTAATTTTATGGATAGCTATTTATTAGAGGGATAGAATGCTAATCAAATCCTTATAAAATAATCTTTAAATAGCATAAAGGAATAAAGAGCATTTTTATAAAAACCGGGGAGCTATATTTATTTATTATTTTATTTATTTAAAAATTTAGCTATAATAAGCCCTAATAAAATAATAATAAAAATCACCTGTTAATAGCATAAATAAAAAAATAGCTATATTTATTTATTATTTTATTTATTTTAAAATCTAGCTATAATAAGCCGTAATAAAATAATAATAATATAATTGAAATAGCACAAAAGAATAAAGTGCTCTATTTATTTATTATTTTATTTATTTAAAACATCTAGCTATAAATAATAAGCCGTAATAAAATAATAATACAAATCACCTGCCAATTAATGCTCAAATTTAAGACACCATTGAGACAGCAGGACAACCCTTCCATTAAGCGCACTGTGCGACTGTGCCTCAGAAGAATTATGAATATTCAGCAGCTGGAAAACTTTCGGGTGCAAAATTATATCCCAGCCCCAGCCCCAGCCCCACCCCCAGCTTTACCCAAGAGTCTATAAAAAGGGGGCGCCAAAGTGAAATTGAAATTGAAATTAATCATGCGGGAGCGTTAAGTATTTGGCAAACTTGGCAACCTGTTCAATTATGCAAGCGTCAGAGCTGAGGATGAACTTAAGGAGCTGCTTGAGCGCCACTTCTGCCACCAGCCCACATTAAGAGGGCGACAAATTCTCATCATTAATGCATGCCCCAGAGAGAGAGAGAGAGAGTGAGAAAAAAGAGTTGTGGAAATTAAGGCGCGCCCCGCACAGAGCCAAGTTTCATTGCCACTCTTGGGGGGGTTGGGGATGGGGCGGGTGGTTGGTGTGAAAGGATTTTCAAGGACAACTCGAACCACATTAAGAACCTTAATGCCAGTTCTGCTTTCTCTCTGCTCTCGCTTCTTTTTTTTTTTGGCTCATAAAACGCCGCTTAATGCGGCGCTTGTCAATAATCAATTTTCGCTGAGCCGCTTCGCCTAATAATGCCAATTTATTTTCATGGCGTAAAAAGTGTAGAACCCAGAACCAGAACCAGAACATATCAACGGAAAGGGTTGCTAACAAAAAAAAAATAAAAAATAAAAGGGGTTATGGGCAGGACAGGCACACACATACACGTGTCCCGGCAATTTATCTGTTTGATTTTCAGCTATGCGAAGTCGCCCTGCGAAGCCTGTCTGGCCTTACCCAACTAAGTCGCGTACAAATCGCTCAAGATAAGCGAATCGACATCCGTATGGGAATCGATTTGAAGATAGATCTACATACATATGTACATGTACATTGTACATACATAAATGTAAAATAGTAGAGGGATACACGAATAGCGGTATGGGAGATAAGTACATTCATAGATGATATCTGCAAAAATATATGGAAGTAAGTAGAAGAAATATATTTATGGAAAGCTAAGGCTGCTCAAGATCGATAGAAGTTTACATGGATTTATTGCGATATTTATGGGGATATATTAAAGAAGGAAATAACCCAAGGGAATCACTTTGAGATAGATTTTTAGATGTATTGGAATCAATTGAAGAAATGTAGAAAAGATACTGCTGAATATAGAATGGGAATCTTTTGAATATATGTACATGTATTCAATATTTGTACGATACAAAAATCGTTTCACAAAGATCTGTAATATATATAATAAATAATATATTAATATAAATAAAGAACTACATATAGTGGGAATATTCAGGTTGCATATTAATTAATATTAAATTAATTATTAATAAAATTCGTTCCATATAGAATAAATACATAAAGGTCTGTAACATATATAATAAATAAATATAAATATAAATAAGGAACTACACACATATAGAATATTCA